TTCATGATTCCAGAACACTGAAAAAAATAAGTGCTTTGGGCGTCTATGGTGTCACACATCTGTGAACCTACCACTGGGGAGGCTGAGACAGGAGGATTGTGAGCTCAAGGCCCAGTTTGTGATACTTTATTATAGAAATATAAACGGAGGAAGCCTAGGAACACTTTTGACCTTTCAAATGAGAAATGTGGGAAATATGGAGGAAAATCTCATAGTCAGAGCCCAGGGATAGCTGCTCAGCTCCCATGGCACTCATGAAGGGTGACCTTCATGACAAAAAAAGTATCCAGCCCCACACAAATGTGGATGGAGAGAACCAACTATATAGAACTGTCCTCTGACCTCCATACACATGCCCCACCCACCCACCCACATACACACACATACACCATACACACAAATAAGTAAATTTTAAGATGTGTTCTTAGTTTTAATTATGTGTGTGCATGTGTGTCTGTGCATGAGTCTATGCACTTGATTCTGGGTACCCACAGAGGCCACAAGACTGGACACTGGATTCCCTGTAGCTGGAGTTACAGGTGGTTGTGACCCACCTGACTTGGCTACTAGGAAGAAAACTTGGGTCCTCTGCTAGAATGGTGCATCACTTAAGCACGGAGCCACCTCTCTAGCCACTATAAAAATAAATAATAAATAAATAAATAAAGCTTTTCAAAAGGCCATGCACAAATAACATGTGCCTATGAGCCCAGCATTAAGAGAGTAGAAATCGACGGATCCCAAGGGTTTGCTGGCCAGCCAGCCTATCCAAATGTGTGAGCTCTGAGTTCATTCTGTAAGAGACCATGTCTGAAAAAATACCAAGGGTCTGGAGAGAGAGCTCAGCAGTTAAGAGCATTTGTTGCTCTTTCAGGGGACCTGATCAACTCCCAGCACCCATACGGTGGCTAAAAACATTCTGGAACTCCAGTTCCAGGGAATCCAATGCCTTCTTCTGTCTTCCACGGGCACCAGGCATGTATGCAGACAAAACACACATATGAATAAAAAGAAAATAAGTAAATCTTTAAAATAAAAAAATAGTAACAATAACAACAACAATAATAATGTGGATAACCATAGAGACACCTGACATCAACCTCTGACCTCCAAAGGAGCATACACAGGTAGCACAGGTGCACACATATGCAAGGAACACACACGCACGCGCACACAGAGAGAGAGAGAGAGAGAGAGAGAGAGAGAGAGAGAGAGAGAGAGAATAAAAAACAAAAAGAAAATTATCCCTAATAAGAACATTTGAGAGTGAAAAAGCGAAAAAGCTTAGGTCAATTTGTAAGAGTTCCTGCCAAAGTCAGGAGCTGTATCCCCCTTACCCCTCCAAACTAACTTCAAGAGATACATAAGATGGCAAATGCCGGGAGCAGGAGAATGCCTTGTGGAAGAACGCCCCAACTGGTTACCCAGTACCAGTTGGTCAGCCCTAAGATGATATACATACAGGTAACCTTACTGGGACTGAACAGGTTGCATTTATGTATTTAGGAATATATATATATATATATATATATATATATATATATATATATATACACATATGTATGTATGTAAGTATGTAACAACTACTGAAGGAAAAAAGAGGCCATGAATTTAAAAGGATGGTGCATGAAAGAGGTTATATGGGGAAAGGGAAGAGGTGGGGAATAATGAGATTATATTATAAGTTTCAAAATTGACTTTAAATAATTTTAACAATAATAAGACAGGAACTAGGTTGGAGGTCACTAAAGCTTTATTAGTTAAAGGTTCCCCCACAAGAGAAAGATGTGTCCGTGCATCCCCGATGTCACTGAAAATTACTTTAAAAAAAAATAGGAAATAAAACTATTTTTTGAAATGAAATAAAATAGTAGCGAATGTGTCTAAACCAACCAAAGAAGAGGAAAGCTTCCTGTGGCTCTAACCCTCCCGGTCCATACCCTGCCCTCCTCAGAACCAACCACCCTTCTTCACTTCTGACCCCAGCCTGGCTTTCTCCTCCCACTCTGCCCTCTACAGCTGGCTCCCACCCACGCCCCCAGCAGTCTTTGGATTGTTATTACATCCAGCAGCCCTGTTTATTCTGTTGTGTTTTGATTTACTGTCCTCGGCGGCTTCCCCGTCCCAGGAGGGTTTGTTGTCTCCTCTCAACCCTCCTCCTCCCCTTTCTCCCAGTTCCACAACAGCCTTGCCCCCGGGGGTCATTCCCTCCTCTTATCACTCAGACTTTGCACTTGAAGAAGATATTGCCCCAAGCCTTACCTTCTCGCTTTTCCTTTCCATAGGTTTCATAATGGACGGGGTAGTGTTAGGAGCCTCTTCTCTAAAAATAGTGAGTTGCACCTGGGGGGGCTGCTGGGCACTAAGTCAAGCACCAGGCACTTCTGAGCATGGAACCCTGGGTGCCTTGACAAAATGCCTGTTCATGAAGCTTACCCTGCTCCAGCCCACAGCATCGCCTAAGACCAGCTATTCTCAACCTTCTTTTTTTTCTTTTTCTTTTTCTTTTTTTTGGTTTTTCAAGACAGGGTTTCTCTGTGTAGCTTTGCGCCTTTCCTGGAACTCGCTTTGTAGACCAGGCTGGCCTCAAACTCACAGTGATCCACCTGCCTCTGCCTCCCGAGTGCTGGGATTAAAGGCGTGCGCCACCACCGCCCGGCTGTTCTCAACCTAATGCTTCGACCCTTTAATACAGTTCCTCATGCTGTAGTGACCCCCCCCAACCATAAAATTATTTTTGTTGCCAGGCGGTGGTGGCACATGCCTTTAATGTCAGCACTTCAGCACTCAGGAGGCAAAGGTGGGAGGGTCTCTGTGGGTTCCAGGCCAGCCTGCCCTACCAACGGTGTTCCAGGGCAGCCAGAGCTGTTACACAGAGAAATTGTCTTGAAAAAAACAAATTAAAAAATAAACAAATAAATGATAAATAAATAATTTTCACTGCCACTTCATAACTGTAATTTTGCTGTTATGAATCATAATGTAAATTTTTGATATGCAAGATGTCCGATATTCAACCTTGTGAAAGGGTCACTCAACCCCAAAGGCGGTAAGACCCATAGGTTGAGCTTGCTGCTCTAGGATGATCTCTGAGGGTCATTGGAGTGGACAGAATGAACCGATTCAAAGACATCCTCACACTAGCCGGTCCCCCCCCCCCCCCCCCCCCCGCCCCAGCCCATGCGTGGGTCACTTCACCTCATGTGACAGAAGGAGTTACATGTGTACATTGCCCCCCTTAACTTGTGTATGTGTCATATATTACATTATATGTCTTAGCAATATATTCGTTGCAATGTTAATGAAATGTAAAAGCATGAACACCGAGAATAGATAACTCAATAAAATCAGAAAACAGCCAGGCATGATAGCATACCTTTAATCTGGGTACTCTGGAGGCAGAGTCAAGCAGATCTCTGTCACTGTGAGGCCAACCTGGCCTAGACAGCAAGTTCCAGGGCTACATAGTGAGACACTGTCGTCTCAGCTGTACAGGATACTGAAGTGGGAGGAAGTAAAATTTGAGTTCAGCCTGGGCAACTTAATGACAGACCCTGCCTGAAAAACACTGTGAAGGGTAGAGGAGGGTGTGCTATATAGCTCAGTGGAAGAGGGCTTAACGAACATGCAGGAAGCCCTGGGTTCAAGCCCTACTGTCACCAACAAAACAATTCATCAACTGCAATGTTTACCTGTGTGCTTGAATATGTGCACATTCGTGTGTGTGTGTGTGTGTGTGTGTGTGTGTGTGTGTGTGTGTGTGAGAGAGAGAGAGAGAGAGAGAGACACGAGAGAGAGAGAGAGAGAGACAGAGAGACAGAGAGAGAGACAGAGAGAGAGACAGAGAGAGAGAGACAGAGAGAGAGAGATCATGTAAATGAATCATAGTAGTCTCCAGGTTCTATCCATTTCCTAAAAAATGACATAATTGTGCTTTTCTTCGTGGCTGCACACACTCCATTGGGAATATACATCACAATTTCTTTATCCACTCATCTATCTGTTGATGGACATCCAGACTAATCCAGTAACCTGGCTCCTGTGAATAAATTACCAGTATGTGGGCTGGCAGGTATGAGGCATGCTGCTGACTTAGATTCCTCCTTGTGGTTTTCAGGCTGACCTCTCAGGGTCTGCCAAAGTCACTTCTATCTGCTCCCCTGTGTGCCTATGTTCTAGGTGGTCTCTGCCTGTTCTCCCTCAACCCAGACCTCTGAGACAAAGTGTCCCTATGAACCCTGTGGAATTCTCTGTGTAGACCAGGATGGCCTGGAACTCACAAAGATCCACCTGCCTCTGCCTTCAGAGTGCTGGGACTAAAGGCCTGTACCACTGTGCCCAGCCTCTGCCTTTCTCTTAATGTGCTCCCTCCTCCGTGGGCTAGGCAAGTTCCCAGTGGTCCTTCAGCGTGCAGCTCAAAGGGGCTTGCTTGTTAGATCTGTGACTGGGTCTCCCCTGCACCCCTTGAACCTGCCCACTCTCAGTAGATTTCAGCAGATTTTGTCCTAAGCCACACCACACCTCAGGACAGCACACTCGGTACCCCCACACCACCCCCAGCTCCCCACTCCAGCCATGCCCCATCAGCTTCAGGAGGATGTTTCCAACACCACTGTGTTGTCTTCCCCACAGACCCCGGCACTCAGAGCAATGACTCTTCTCTGGAAGGTGGCTGAAATAGGAACATCCATCTGGGGAACTCTCCAGGGCGCTGTCAGGCCACTGCTTTCTCCAGCCAGGACTTTTTAGTAGTTCTCGCTTTCCTTCTTTCCTCTCTTCCTGTCTCCTCTCTTTCTCAACACACACACACACACACACACACACACACACACACACACACACACACACACACACACACACACACACACCCCACTCCCCCAACAGCTGCAGAGTCTGGAAGAAATTACTCTTCTAAACAGCCAGACTTCCCTAGTTTCAGGAAATTCCAAGCTGGGCAGGGGGAGGGGCCGGGGCCGGGCTGGGGACGCGCCCGTCCATCCCCCTAGCTCTGCCCCTGCTTCCAGCACGTCCAGTCCTGGTCTCCTCCTGCCCCCACTATCCTCTCAAAGGGCTCTCAGCTTTTCCACCATACACACTTTCTAGTCCTTTAAATCCTAGAGGCAAACTTTGGGGGAATAAGGAAGGCTGGGAGGGGCCTATGGCTTAACCCTCTCAATCCGGGACAAGAAACCAAGACCAACTAAGCTGACTGGGCGTTGACTCTGCGCTCTCCTGGTAGGCTACCATGGCCCCCGAGAGGGGCTGAAGCTTAGTTCCCGGTGCAGGTAAGAAGGAACCACAACCAGGGTTGCCAAACTCTGGGATCGAGTCTCCTGAGTCTCAGGGAGGAGGGCACAGGTCTGGATCCCCATAAACGATAAAGAGTGCAGAAGCCTGGACCCTTGGAATGTGAGAGCGGAGAGCAAGGAAACTCCCTGCCTGTGAAACCAGAGAGCTAGGGGGTGGGGCTCCTGGGACCCAAGAGCGCAGGACCCGGCCTGAGTTGGTGGCATTCAGACCATATGCCTGGGTCCTGGAGCCCCTTCCAGGTGGGGCATGACAGTTGTTTCTTTGCCAGGTGAGATCCCGCCCGGAGAAAGAAGAAAAAGGGCGCCAGCGAGGTAGCCTCCGAGGCCAGGAGGGACCACAGCTTGAGCCGGAACCCACTTGAGTCAGGACCACGAGGTGAGAAGTCTTGTGGTGGGCAGGGGTCTTCAACCAGAGGGAAAAAAGGCACAGACTCGTTACCAAAGAAATCGGGGCCTTTGACGGCCCTGCTGCAGCCGCGTAGCTTTAGGAAAAGCGTTGCCAGTCCTAAGATCCCAGGGGTCTCCAGGTGGGGTCTCCTGCCAGGTCTGGGCTCCACCCTCCTCCAGCCGGAGAACCAGTTGGGCCAGCTCCGGAGCGGGTGGTTATTTGCGTCCTGGCAGGGCTGGGACTCAGAGAGGACAGAGGTGAACCAACTATGCCCCTCACCCCTGCAGCTGGAGCGGCACAGTGCCTAGGCAGGAAAAAGTGTGGAAGAGGCCAGAGGAGGTCTGCTTATCTGAGAGCGCGTCTGTCCGGACCGGCTGGGTCCCCTGCGTGTGCTCGCCTCCAGTCTGCTTTGCATTGATCCCTAACAACAGCCCCTCTGTAAGAGCCTAGGCTGATGACGAACTTTTTCCAAGAATGACCGCATTGCCTTGGGTGTAACAGCCCTGCAACAAGCATATTCGAGCTTAGAGCTGGGTGTGCAGAAGGACACCTAGGCTGAAGAGGGAAGTGACTCTCTCAAGGTCTCAAAGCCAGCCAGGAGCTACAGGAGCGTTAAAATCTCCCCGTGCGTGTGTGAGAGGCAATATATGCACTGTGTGCATACGTGTATGCTAGGGGATGTGAGTGCCTAGGTCAGAGGAGAAGTCGGGTGTCCTGATAGATAATTCTCCACCTTCCTTCACCACCACCACCACCACCACCACCACCACCACCACCCGGGGCCGGGGTTCTCTGTGTGACCGTCCTGGCTGTCCCGGAACTCGCTTTGTAGACCAGACTGGCCTCTAACTCACAGAGATTCACCTGCCTTTGCCTCCCAAGTGCTGGGACCACCCGGCTGGCCACCTTATTCTTGAGATGGTGGAGGGTTGCTTATTCAAAGCGGAGTTGAATGAGCCCACGCTGTCTTCCTGACCTTGCCCTCGGGTTTAGAACAATTAACCATGTTTCCAATCCAAAGAGCTTTTTCCTTTGTTTATTTTTGAGACTGGATCTCACTGTGTCGTCCTGGGTGTCCTGGAACTCTTCACATAGCCCAGTCTGGCCTCAGACTCACGAATCTCCGCCTACTCTGCCTTCTAAACAGTGAGATTAAAGGCATGTGCCACCGTGTCCACCTCCAAAAGCTCTTTTGGACTGTGACCCCAGACTTTAACAGCTTTCTAGCCCCACAAAAGCTCTTTTTAAACTCATTTCCCCCCTCATGTAGAATGGAAAAGAAAACCAAACTCAGGTAAGATACCAAAGAAAGCTCTGGCCTTTGTATGAAATTAAAACATTTTTTCTTTCCTTCCATGTGGTCCACCTCCTGTGAGTGGCTGTGAACTGTAAGAGTTTCGTTACATTCCACACTTTGTCAGCCTGTTCTAAACCCTGCCTGGAGCATTTGTTCTTGTGTGACCCAGGGCCAGTTACTGAATTTTTCTGTTTTTCATCATTGAAAAAGAATTTTAATTATCATCTTCCACTTCTTGGATTGTTCTGAAGACTAACGAGTTTGAGCATCCTTTCAAGGCCTCTAGGCCAGTGCTCAGCCCTGAGAAGGTGCTTGGGAAATAAAATGAGTCAGGCAAGTGTTTCCTGTCATCCCTTAACATGCAGGGGTCTGACTCTTGCTTTTGGAGAATAAATTGAGCAAAAGGATAAGGAAGCTGATCAGAGTCCCACAAGAAAGGAAGGGCAAATTTTGAGCCCCAGTGTATGTAATATAACAAATGTGAGCCTAGTTGAATCCAGTGGTACAGGCCTATAACTCCAACTACTAGGGAGAGGAGCTGAAACAGGAGAATCACAAGTTCAAAGTCTGTCTTCGTTCATCACAGAGTGAATTCAAAACCAGTCTAGGCAAGCTCATGAGGCTCATATGAAAAATCTTTTTTTTTTCTTTTGGTTTTTCAAGACAGGGTTTCTCTGTATATCTCTGGCTGTCCTGAAACTTACTCTGTAGACCAGGCTGGCCTCAGACTCAGAGATCTGCCTACCTCTCTGTCTCCCAAATTCTGGGATTAAAGGTGTACATCACACATGCCATTGATTTTTTTTTTTCCTTTTAAAGGCTAATAGTGTGGCTCAATGTCAGAGTGTTTGCCTAGAATTCCCCCAGTGAGGGCCTAGGGGCGTGGCTCAATGGTAGAGTGCCTTCCCGGAATTCACCAATAAGGTATTAGGGGCGTGGCTCAATGGGAGAGTGCTTGCCTAACACCCAGGGTCTTAGCTAACTCTAGGCTAGCTTCAGCAGCACACCAAAAAGGGGTTGGAATTCTACGTAGCGTTTACTCAGTGAACACCTACCATTTGCTTTGCTAAGATGGAGCATTCTCTTGGCATCCCACCTTGCAGATGGGAAAACAAGGTCAGAAGGGTCACATTGCTTATCCAAAGCCACAGAGCAACAGCCCCAGCCAGATCCAAACCTGGGCAACTCGTTTTCTGAATCCTACCTCTTTTCACTTCTCACTGCAGAGCCAATACTAAGATGAATGGCATCACTTGCACCCAGAGAGGGTTTTTATGGTTAACTGTGGCTCAGTATTCACTAATGAGTCAAACACAGCATCTTAAAAAAAAAAAAAAAAAAAGGAGGGGGGAATTATAATAGGGAAAGTCCGCGTACCTGTCAAATCGTTAAGGGCAAGTCTTACTCTGTCAAAACTTTTGTTTTCATTACAGTGGAAGGAGGGAGTGGTGGTTGTGTGTAGAGTTACAGTAAAAATGTGTTTATTCACTGACGTTAAGGGCAGAGTTGAACTGGTATAGCAAGAGTAGTTTCAGAGATTGGCAAGGAGGCACAGGTTTGTATGCTCAGCACTTGGGGAGGCTGAGGCAGGAGCATTGCCCTGAATTGGAAGCTAGCTAGATCTGGCTTGTAGTATGCTGTCTCCAAAATAAATCTTCTCAAAAACCACCAACAACAAACACCAACACTGGTGGCTAGGCCTGTAATCAGACTTCTCAGGTAGCTGAGGCAGGATGATGAAATTCAAGTCCTGGGCTACAAAGTGAGTTCAAGGACAACTTACTAAGATCTTGTTCCGTAATGAAAAATTAAAAGGGGGTTGAGAGAGGGGCATGGCAATGTTGGAACATGACTCAGGCATTAGGAGCACTGACTACTCTTCCAGAGGACCCGGGTTTGATTCCCACACTCACATGGCAACTCTGGCCTATCTGTAATTCCACTTCCAAGGGATTTGACACCCTCTTCTGGCCTCTGTGGGCACCAACCAGGCATGCATGTGGTACACAGACATACATGCAGGTAAAACACCCATACACATAAAGCATTTTTTTTAAAGAGAGCTGGGGATGTAGTTCAGTGGTAGAGTGCCTTCCTAGCATGCATGCGATTCTAGGTTCAGTGCCCAGCAGAGGGGAAAATACAGGAAGTCTGCAAGTGTACACGTGTGCATGAATTCGATAGTCTTTGGACTATGTCCATCTCAATTATTTCGAACAGTTTTGGCTGTACTTTGTGTTCACATCATCGTTGATACTTCCCAGGGTGCTGAATGCTGAAAGAACAATGTTGGCTCCCTTGCCTTCCTCGGACAGTATTACCAAATCTAATCTTTGTCCCCCAGTTATTGTTTGGGTGACACGGCCTTTTCTACTCCCAACACCAGCACAGCCAGTTGGCAGCACTTAATATTAAAAACACACTTGGAGTCGCTATCTCTGTGTGCTCTGCAGGGAATCGGCACTGTCATTTTATCTGGTGTATAGACAGGAAAAGGAAGGATTAATTTGTGGAGATTCATTTAACAGGAAAAGGGTGGGGTTTTGGTGGAAATAGAAACAAGGGATTTCATCATAGTAGTGAGCGTTAAAAGTACAAAGTTGTCAAAGTCCCTCCCACAATTTCCATGGAAAAAGACCAAGCTCTAGGATTGGGTTTCTGTTTACCACCCAGTCAGGTACAGTAATCTAGCAACTTCACATCAGGTTCACAGTTCACAAGCTAGCAGCTGCAAACATATGCCATTCTTGCCAGTATTTGTGTAGTAGATTGAGTCATTTATTTTATCTATGAGTATTTTGCCTGCATATGTGTGTATGTATACCACATGCATGCTTGGTGCCCGTGGAGGTCAGAAGAGGGCATCAGATCCCCTGGAACTGATGGTAATGGATGTTTGTGAACCATTTCCTGGGTGCTGGGAATGTGTATTTTTGTGCATGCATGTGTGTGCAGTGCCATCAGAGGCCAGCAGAGGGCAGCAGACTTTTTGAAGTTGTAGTTATAGGAAGTTGTAAGCTGCCGAACTTGGGTACTGGGATCAGAACTTCCCTCCCCTGGAAGTGCAGCAAATACTATTAGCCTCTGAGCCAACTCTCCAGGCCCTCATTACTGCCAATTTGTAACATGAGATATTTGCTTTATTATTTGTGTTTTACAAAATGAGATGCTACAACCTAAGTCAAAGTCTTCCCCCAAAGTATATCATTTTAATTGTAAAATTCTGTGTAAACATACGGCTCCCCTGGACCACCTTAAATCTCTCAAATGAGAATCTTTCTTTTTTTTTTTTTTTTGGTTTTCCGAGACAGGGTTTCTCTGTGTAACTTTGCACCTTTCCTGGATCTCGCTCTGTAGACCAGGCTGGCCTCGAACTCACAAAGATCCGCCTGCCTCTGCCTCCCAAGTGCTGGGATTAAAGGCGTGCGCCACCACCGCCCGCCGAGAATCTTCATGTGGTCTGTACAGTGAATTTTGCACATGTTCTGTAGAGCCTTCCTGGTCCACTTCGTCAGTGTGTATGGAGGGAAGGGTGCTTAAGCGTGTGTGGTTGGTCCTAGTCCAGTGCCTGGGGTACTCACTGGCCAGTCTGCCCTGTCCTAGAGGATGGACACTGATAATCTTCATCTATTCTTCCCCTATCTTCATCTATTTTTTTTTTTTTTTTTTTTTTTTTTGGTTTTTTGAGACAGGGTTTCTCTGTGTAGCTTTGTGCCTTTCCTGGAACTCACTTGGTAGCCCAGGCTGGCCTCGAACTCACAGAGATCCGCCTGGCTCTGCCTCCCAAGTGCTGGGATTAAAGGCGTGCGCCACCACCCGCCCGGCCCTATCTTCATCTATAACTAATGCTAACTGGAGTTTTTTTACTAGCCTTGTTGGGAAGCACTTTGGAAGTCATTTTTTGGTACTTACCCTCCAGGAAAGCTCAACTATTAGTTACTGAGGTGACCCACATTGCGTAATGGTCATGGACCTGTTAGACTCGTGAAAAGTTAAACATGTCATCTGAGATTTGAGTCCAGCAGTAGTAACCTTGGGAACCTCTCACAGCCTCAGTTTCTTCACTTGTTGACCGAGAATAGTAGTGCCGACACAGTCCTGCCTTATCGGAGCATTCCTGTGGCTGACTAGGTAGGTCTGGGACATAGAGTTGGGGCTCCAGGGTGAGGCAGCTCTGACATGCCTGTGCCCCCACAGATGCCGGTGTTGAAGCAGCTGGGCCCCGCGCAGCCCAAGAAGCGACTGGAGCGCGGAGCACTCTCTATCTCGGCGCCCCTTGGAGACTTCAGGCACACACTGCACGTGGGGCGCGGTGGCGACGCCTTCGGGGACACCTCGTTCCTGAGTCGCCACGGGGGCGGCCCGCCCCCCGAGCCCCGCGCGCCGCCAGTCGGCGCCCCACACTCCGTCCCTCCACCTGCAGTCCCACAGCCCCCTGCACCTGCTCTCCTCGTGCCTTCACCTGCGGACCCGCTGCTGTCCTTCCATCTGGACCTGGGCCCCTCTATGCTGGACGCAGTGCTAGGCGTCATGGACGCGGAGCGCGCCCAGACAACCAAGCCCGTCGGGGACGCCCACCCTGGAATGCAGCACCCGAAGGCCTGCTGCCGCTCCAACGCAGACCTCCCGCTGGACGATGTCATAGGCCTGTAGTGTCCTTATTCCTGCATTTCTCCCTCCCAACATCCCACTTTTGTACACATAAATGACTGTGTCTGTTCACTTTATACTGGAAGGGGCGCAGAGGCAGGACGGTGGGGTGCCACCAACTAAAAGCCAAGGCTGTCATTAGTGGTGTCCCTTTAAGAGTCTGAAGGTGGCCGGGCGGTGGTGGTGCACACCTTTAATCCCAGTGCTCTGGAGGCAGAGCCAGAGGGATCTCTGTGAGTTCCAGGCCAGCCTGGTAAAAAAGACTCTGAAGGTGTATTCATGTAATGCCCCTCCCCAAGGGCGGAGCCTCACACCTGGCCGCTCCCACAGACGTATTCATTCTTCAAATATTGACCCAGCCTCACTGCTAACCTGGATAAAGTCCAGCCCCCATGACTTGCTTAGCACCACCCACGGCCGCCTGGCCCTCCACATCCCCACCAGGTGCACTTCGATCGGGCGGTGCCGCTCTTTTTTCTAGGAATGGCTGCAAAGGGAAGTAAGTGGTTGAGGAACCTTTGGAGCCCGAGGGGTGTGGTCCCCCGTGGGGAGAGCTTCTGGTCATACCAAACGGTTTGTCGCCTTGAGGGTGGCTGTTGCGTCACAAATCTGGGCACAAAGTTAAACCTGAGTCCACAGATGACCAGATGTTTCAACATCCCAGAGGTGCGGGGCTCCCTAGGCCTATATCGTGGACCGAGGATGGGGCCAGATTCTCGAAGGTTCCCAGAGGGGAGGGACATTTAATATTAATCACGCGGCTTGGGGAGGGTCTATCTTAGGTCCCTGGGGGGCAAAACCAACTTAAGTTAACCGGACCGGAGGCAGAATAAGGTCTTTTGAAGTTTCCAGAGGGATGGGTCGTATGTGTCAACCCCTAGACTGGGGATAGGAGCAAGACCCGTACCCCACAACCAGACTCAGGTAAAACCACTGAACCTTGGTGAGGCCAGGGTAAGGCCAACCAGAGGCGGGGCTTATGTAAATCATTCAGGTGGGTCGGGGCCAAGGTAAGCCACGCTGCCCGGACAGGACGGGACACTTATAAGTAACTTGGCACCGGGCAGGAGCAGGAGTCGCTTTGCTCATAGTGAGGAATCGGATGTAAGTCAATTAATGGTATGGGGACTACACACTTTAAGGACGGTCGAGGGCGGGGCCAGGATACCTGAAACACCGCCCCCACCTCCACCCCCCACCCCCGCCGCAACACACACAAAGGGCGGTGTACGTGTAAATCTTGTGCTGCAGGGTGGTAGGGGGAGGAGGAAGGGCAGGCTCCCTAGAGGTCCTGAGAGAGGGACTGGGTACAAGCAAAGCGTTTGGTTGCCGAGGGCCGCGATCTCGTAGCCCCACCCCCAACGTCATGGGTAAAATATATGTGAATCAGCTGGCTGGGGAGGAGGCCTTGCTCCAAGGCTCCCTGGATGCTCTGAAAGCGGCGGAGTACATGCACAAGTACTCGCAAGGGGTGGAAACTGTCTCGCCAAAGCCCAGAAAGGGAGGAGCACATATAAAATGGTTGGACGGGATGGAACCTGCCTCCCCTTAGTGCCTGGGAGGATCTGCACACTAGTTAATGGGCTGGTTGGGCAGGGCTAGCTAAGCTCGCCAAGGCCCCCGAGGGGTGGGACACATCTGGGGCGGGGCAAGACCAGGTTCCTAGGGAAAATCAGAGGCCGGCTACATGTAAATAAGCTGGGCAGGGCCGGGAGCGCCGGAGCCAGTGGGACACTCCGAGGTCGGGCCTAGGCTATCGGCCTCCCTCTAGGTGCGGCAGGCGGGGCTCCGGGCGTCACAGTTGGGGCTCAGCGCGGTGGACCGAGGCTGCCCAGGGTGCCGCGGTACCATGGAGGCCGCGGCCGATTCCTCCGAGGGCCCCCCGGCCTGCCGCTTCTTCCTAGAGGGCCGCTGTCGCTTCGGCGCGCGTTGCCGCCAGCCACACCCCGGGGCCCCAGCGCCAAGCCCCGAGGTCGCGCGGCCCGAGGCTGGGTCCAAGAAGCCGGCGCTGCGTACTGCCGCTGACGTCATCCAGCGCATCCGCTGGGACCCGCGCCTGGACCCCGCCGACTTTTCGGTGGGCTACACCGACCGCTTCCTGGGCGTGCAGGAAGAGCCCTTCTGCGCCTTCTGCTGGGACGAACCGCTGGCAGCGCTCGGGCCCGGCGTGTTGGCCGTCCCGCAGCACCGCATCCGCTACTTCCGCTTCCGAGGCCGCCTAGTGTGGGACCGTGCCTCTCGTACTGACCTCATTTTTGGCTCGGGTTCTGTGACTGGACGTGGACCCACCATCCTGGACGCGCTGGACGGCGGGGACGAGTACTGGCCAGAGGTTGCACTAGAAATCCCTGACACCGAGAAGACAGAGGCAGCTTCCGAGGTTCAAGACACCCAGGATGCTTCTAGGGAAGAGGATGGAAACGCGGCAAGAACTGGGCTTGGTTCGGGCTTGGAGACACCCAAAGAGGGTGGGGCAACCAAAGAGAGCAGAACTGGGCTTGATTCGGGCCTGGAGACACCCAAAGAGGGTGGGGCAACCAGAGAGACCGTCCTGAATAGGACGGCAGAGTCAGGAACACCAGACCCAAGGGAGTGCTTCACAGGAGTAAAGGAGATCTTGGACTCACTAGAGGCACCTGGAGCCACACTGCTTCCACGGTGGCAGGCACAGGCCATGGAAGCTCCAGGGCTTTCTGCTGAACAGATGGAAAGTGAGTGGGATCAAGGGGCTTGGCCTGATGAAAGGAACACCCCTCGCCAGCCCCGGCCCACACACTTTGTGGCAATGATGGTAACAGAGCCTGGGCTGAGGGCGGAAGTGGTCAAGGCCCAAGAGCATCTGGTCCGGATTGCCCCTTCTTGTGCGGCTTTTCTTGTACCTGCGCAGGCCCTGCACCTGACAATGGCCTTGCTGAGGCTGACAGGCCCTGGGGAGGAGGCCGCAGCAGCTGGGGCTCTGCGGAGGGCCCTCTTGAAACCAGGGCTTCAGGCACCCTCTGAGCTGCAGTTCAAGGACTTGGTTCTTCTGGGCCACCATGTGCTCTGTGCCACACCCTCCCCCACGCTGGCAGGCATGGCCCAAACTCTGAATCAGAGGCTAGAGGCTGAAGGGCTGAGAGTCGTGCAGCCCCCAGGGGGACTACAGCCACACCTCACCCTGGCCAAGGTGCCACACGGATCCCAGGTTTGCATCCCTGAGCCTGGGTCAATCCTGAACCAGGAGCTGGGGAGGCAGCCCCTAGGGAAACTCTGGCTGTGCCGTATGGGCAGAGCAGGGCATAGCTACCTGCCCGTGGCTGAGATTCCCCTAAAGTGACCAAGGTTCCAAACTTTGAAGAAACAAGCCAAATAGAAACAAGTTCTCTCTCTCTCTCTCTCTCTCTCTTTAATTTTGGTTTCAAGCTTCCAAAATGTACTGTACTCAATGCTCAAGGAGAATGAAGGGAGGGGAGGGGAGAGGTGGGGAGGGGAAGCAGGGAGGCATCTGGAAAAAAAGCAGCCTGACAGTCCAGCTGTTTGCAACCTCACAGCACATCCTCCAGTTACATGGCAGAAGAGGGGGGAGGGGTGAAAAGAAAAGGGGGAGAAAGAAGAAAAATAACTTAAACACACACACAGAGAAAAGAGAAGGAAACATGACGTGAGCTGGTGATCCATGAAGGCAGAGGGGAGGAAGGAAAGGAGGGTAACCATTTTACCTGTATTGAACCAGGGAGCAGGGAGGGAAAAGGAAGAGGAGGGAGGGAGGGGAAAAAATCAGAAGAAACATTGGGGCCGAGGGAGGAAGGGACACGGAGACAACTTAATACAACTTGAGTAAGGCGAGGCAGCCCTGCCGGCATGGTCCCGCGAAGGCCTTGGAGTCCTCAGTGCGCTGTGCTGCTGGTCTGGCTGTGTTGGTGGTGCTGGCTGGCGTTTCTGGGGTGAGGGGTTGAAGGTGGGGCATAGTCTTTAAGCAGCTCCCCTCACCCCAAACACTGAGGCCCCAATGGCTGGGCAACAAGAGTCTATGAAGAGGCAGACGAGGCAATAGATGTGGCTGGCTGGTGCCCCGCTGCAGGCCGGTGCGGGCTGGACGGCCTGTCTTCTGCTGGCCCCCCAGCATGGGATGGGCCAGCACGCAGGGTCAGGTGCTGGAGTACGAGCTCGAAAGAGAGAGAGAAAAAACACTGAGACAGCATTAGTGGAGGTGAGAGGTGGACACAGAACCTGTAGCCCCCACCCCACCCTCCTCCACTATACTCCCAATTATCCCCTCTGAGACAAAAAATAAAAACGTAGAAAAATCTCTGTACAGATCCCCGGTGGGAAACGGGGGTAGGGACGCTGGCTCTTCCTGGAGCCCACTCCCCACAAATTAATTTACAACCCATGTCCATGGCTCAAAAACAAAATCAGCAAAGGCGGCGCTGGGCCACAGCCCTAACCCCGCCCGTGCTCGATGGGTGCTCAGAAGGCTGGCAGCTGCGCCAGGCTGAGGCGGCAGTCCACGCTGGAGTTGTCCGGGCCCGTGTAGGACAGGCCCAAGGGCTCTAGGAAGGCCCGGCAGGCGGCCTCGCCCTCGAAGGCCAGCTCGGCCTGCAGGTAGGAGACAGGCAGCGCAGGGCGGAAGCTATGGAGACAAGAGGAGAAAATGATGAGGCAAGCGGACCAGGGAGGGCCCAGGAGCAGGAGCAACGCTCCCCATCCGGGCTCCCACAGTTTTCCTCAGCAAGGAACCTGCTGGCTTCTGCAGCCCCTCCCAACCTCCCCACAGCAGGGGCTTGGGGGGGGGGCAGGGATGGGGTTGGTAGCCCCAGTGCCCAGCTGCCCCCCCCTTGCCCACACTTACCTGTCCAGGAAGGAGGGGGCAGGAGGGAAAGGGCCCAGCTGACTCCTCTGCTGGCTGAGGGGCTGGAGCCAGACAGAGTAAGTGGTACAGGGCTCAGAGGGTAGGGACAGTGGCGCCCCACACTCCAGGATACTTGCACAGAGTATCATACTCAGCAGTGCCTTCTGGTTGGTACTAAGATGTCCTAATAGTGTATGTGTCCTACTAGTTCTGGGGACATTCTACTACAGGCCACCACAGCCCTTTAGCCACTTGGGAAGTCTCACCAAGTATCTGGAACCAGTCATCCTATGGCCCTGGGACAGGGCAACCTCCCTCTCTCTCAAGTGGCCTTCCAGGCCACGGCAGGGACTTGTGTACCAAGAATGGCTGTGCCAAGTTTACAGGGAGATCAACACAGGCCAGCACCCTGAGCACTCACAAGGACCATTTGCGCTGTGCAGCCAAGGCTGACTATGAACAGATTAAGAATCACTTGCACCACTGAGGCTTGAGATCTGCTCATTGAGGGGCCCACTGGACCACAAAAGACTGACAGCCCGATGCCCACTCATCTCAGTCAAATCTGGAACCATATCCCCATAGCCCCTCCCTTGGGTTGAACTGACTACAACAAAATCCTACACGTTTCCTAATGCACAGGTTGCAGGTACCACCATAACAGGACTACTACCTTAATGAGAAAATGCTGCTGTTTAGCTCAGCATTCAAGGCCCCTCGAGATTGTTCACAGACCTCTTGACCAGGGTTTCTCAACCTTGGCAACACTGGCACACACTACTGTGGGCCTTCTGTTGCACAGCATCCCTGGTCTTTACCCACTAGGTGGCAGCATCATCCACACCCATGTGACAAGCAAAAATATCAGGGGACAATAGGCGGCACATCTCTTCCCCACATGGACAAGCCTCATGTCTGATGACCAGAGGGCCTTGCAATACCACCACCCTCCGTGCCACAGGTCCCCAATCACACTGTCCCAAAAGACTTCTGGTACTCAAGAGTGGAATGGGCACAAGGCCTCATCTCAAGAGACTGCTGCAAAATGAGCCAGGCTACTCTTTCTGATGTCAGGAAGAAGAGCAGCAAGTAGCTGCAGGTAAAGGCCGGGAAAGGAGGAGGCAGATAAGCCAGCTTCCAAGCTGACATGGACAGAAGAGGAGTGCAGGGAAGGAGAGGGCACGATACCAGGAGCAGTGAGGTAAGAAGAGTGGGAGAAAACCCCGAACTGAGGGTGGCTGAGGAGGAAAGCAATGAAGGCCAAGGGAGGGACTCCAGCAGAGCAGCTGAAGGACGACCAGGATGTGGAGGGGGCGTGGCAGAGCCACAGCACAGAATGCAGCAGAGTGCAGTGCCACATACGTTTTGATCATGGCCTTGAGGGCGGCCTTGCGCTCCCGGTCTGCAAACTTGTCCACAAGGTAGCCTGACATACAAGGCGCATGGCAATAGAGCCGGAAGAAACGGTGGTAGTTGCCTAGGGCCCAGGCTGCCCGCAGTGCTAATGCATGGGACACACAGGGGTCCGCCTTCAGCTCCCTCGTGAGGTATGCCAGCTCCGTAGTGATGTCTGCACAGGAGAGAAGAGGAGGTCAGGCAGCAGGGCACCACCTTGGGCACGGTACCCTCCATCTTGGGACGGGCCTCTCACCTCCAGAGTTCTTGGTGAAGATGTAGTAGAGGATTCTGTATGCAGTAAATTCACCTACATTGCCTGCCAGGTTTTCTGCGTACAGCGACTTGAGTTGTGTCTGGCACTGGTTGAATTCTTCATGGTCACCCTGAGAGTAGGGCATGGAGGAAGGGTGTGAGGAACAGACAAGTACAGGTGGTTTTGAGAGAGGGGTGGGAGCCCCACGGCAGCTGCCTAGCTCCCTACCTTCTCCAAGGCAATGCGGGCGTGTGTCTCATACACCTCCACGGTGAACTCGGTGCGGATGCCTTGCACCTGGGCAGTGGGAAAGAGCAGTCAGGCTGAGCAGAGAAGGGCAAGATGGCCCTGACTCCAAAGCCTTCTCGGCATCTGCCTTACCGTCAGGTCCTGCCGAATAGACTTCATCTGCTCACAGGCGAAAGCGTAGTCCTGCTTCTCCTTCCAGTGGGACTTGACCATGCACAGAGACTTCTTCAAAACCTGCAGGGAATGGAATCCAGGCTGAGTGCAGAGACAGCCGACAGGCCAAAGCCACTGGGTGGCTGCTCAAGGAGAGCTGCGTACAGCCTGCACAGTGACTCACCACTATGAACAAACAAGATCAAGCCAACACAGCAGGACTGAGTGCCCCACGACTTCCCGTTGACACACGGTGCTGTGCCATCCTCAAGCACAATAGCTACCTTTCATAAGGCCACTGGCTCCAGGGTCCCACATCAAAGTCTGCCTCAACTTTGCTTGTAGTAAGGCTGATGGTGGTCCTGCTATGCCCCAAGTGTGAAGAGCCTGCATGCTAAGGTCTTCTCATAGCCAGAGCTGCCACCTCAGACACCCCACATGTCCCCTGCTCCCCCACTATGTTAGCTCCCTGGCCTAATGCTAACACTGCCTGAACTTACAGAAACAGGTCGCACAGTGGATGGGTCAGGGGCGCAGGTCAGTCGTAGATAGTGCTTTGTGATGTCAGGACAGGTGCCCACAATCTGCAGCTCCTGCCAGTCAGGGTCAGCTCCACTGCTTTCCAGGTTACTCATCTGCAGCACCAAAGGTTCAAGGCGCAGGCGGCGTGAGTGCCCGTGCTGGAAGCGGGCTGCCCTCTTTTGCTTCTTAAGCTCACGCTCTGGGTCCTCACACTCCAGTGCTGCCATCTTCTTGCGGCTGCGTTTGGTGGGAGCTAGGTCGTGTCTGGGGAGAACGTGTAAAGAAGGTCAATGTCTTTAGCCACTGAGAAGGCCATCGACCCACCTGCGAGACCCAATAAACTCCACCTAGGCCCAGGAAGAAATGCCACTCAAAGCCTCACCTCTTTCCACGCTGCGCCCTGCCTCGGCCCCGATCCATGTGGGCCCCACGACCACCCCGACCCTTGGGGGGTGGGTTCCTGCGGCCTACAGGGTGACACTCATTCCCCGAGTAGGAGCTGTCAGAGTCTGAGTGGGAGTCACTGAGTAAGAAAACATTAAAGTCAGGCCTGGAACACAGGGTAAGGCAGCAGCCCCCTCCCAGTTGCCCTCCAGCCACAAGCCTGCACACCTTCTCCGGAAGTGGCGGGTGGGGGACCTGGATGAAGAGCGGGAGCGCGAATCTGTGCTGGAGGAAGAGCTGTTGTCCTTCATGAAGACGTTGCGGTTGCCGAACTTGGCGAAGCTGCTACCCCGGGCTCGGCCAGCACCCCCAGCCCCAGGTGTCCCTCGCTGGGATTGGGCACCCCCGCCCCTGGTCACCGAGCCTGCCCCCCTGGGAGGGTGAAGGCTGCTAGGGGCCTCCCACCGCTTCTTCTTGGGGCTCTCAGCCACAGGCTCCCTGGTCAGCCTGAGGATATAGCAGGGCAGGGCATTACCAACCAGCCACCAACCTGCAGGACTGCAGACCCCACCCTATGG